GTCAGTCACAGAACCCGAGGGACATGTTCCTTCTGTCCAAGGAAGGGACAGCCAATCCCCCCCTGCGTCTGAGATCAAAGCACCAAGCTAAGCAGTTCCAGGCAGAGTTCTCCATGAGTCCTGTGACCTCAGCCCTCGGGGGCACCTACAGGTGCTACAGCTCACGCAGCACCTCCCCCTTCCTGCTGTCACTCCCCAGTGAGCCCCTAAATCTCCTAGTCTCAGGTGAGCAGCCTGTCTTATCCTCTCTGAGCTCCAAGGTCATCTCTGTCTCTGTCCCCAGCAAAGTCTGATCTGTGATTGAAGTAGTGGGAGCACTGGGTGGTTCCACAGAGGAGGTTCACACGCAAGCGGTGTCTCAGAAGGCTCTGGGTCTATTTTTTGCTTCACCGAGAAAATTAGGGCCAGGCTGCTAGATAGAGGTTGTTCCCTTTCATGAAGAACTGCTGATGTGACAACCACGAGAGAGGGAGGGCCAGCCTCCCAGTGCAGCCCTGCAGTCTCAGACAGGCCTGAGGGAGGGGGGAAAGCGGCACTACTCCAGTGACGCCAACAGGAAGTTGGATTTAACTGAAGTGCCCAGACAGAGGCCCTACCCCCTGACTTCTGGTGGCTCCACCTCAGACCAGAGCATCTCTGTTCCCAGGGGGGCATCCCACAAGCGGGACCCTAGAAAATGGGGCTGAGTGTGTGTGGACTCAGCTCTCCTGGGAGGTGAACTCTGAGGATCTTTTCCATCTGAACAAAGGGGCTGCCTGCCAGGACCTGCAGGGGCGCTTTCATTTCTGACTTCGTGAGGCAGGATGGAGAACAGTGGTCCTGGGTTAATGGATGTGGGGCATCTTAGGAATGTGAGGGTGAGTAATGCCTTCTCACCCAGCCTCTGGTTTCCTTCCAGGGCCCCTCCCCCAACACACCTCAGTAAATTTAATTTAAAAAAATTAGGAATGTGAGGGTGAGTAATGCCTTCTATCCCAGCCTCTGGTTTCCTTCCAGGGCCCCTCCCCCAACCTACCATCTGGACTGAGCCTGGTTCTGTGATCCCCTGGGGCAAGCCTGTGATCATCTGGTGTCAGGGGACCCCAGAGGCTAAGGAGTACCATCTGGAGAAAGAGGGAACCCCAGTGCCCTGGGACAGAGTGAAGCCACTGGAGCATAGGAACAAGGCCAAGTTCTCCATCACACACATGACATTGCTACAGGCAGGGAAATATCGCTGTTACTATTACAGCCCTGATGGCAGGTCAGAGCGCAGTGACCCCCTGGAGCTGGTGGTGACAGGTGAGAGGATACTCAGGGGTCCCAGCCTCAGGCTCTGCCCTCTGGAAGGGGGTCTGCTCTCAGGGTGTCTCCCTCTCACAGCCCAGCCCTGGGGGATATGAGGGAGGTGTGAGCCCATTTACCATGCTGCCTCCTTCTCTCCTAGGATCCTACAGCAAACCCAGCCTCTCAGCCCTGCCCAGCCCTGTCGTGACCTCAGGAGGGAATGTGACCCTCCAGTGTGGCTCACCGCAGGGATTTGACAGGTTCCTTCTGACTAAGGAAGGAGACCACAGACTCTACAGGACCCTGGACTCACAGCCACAGCCGAGTGGGCAGTTCCAGGCCCTGTTCCCTGTGGGCCCCGTGACCCCCACACACAGGTGGAGGTTCAGATGCTATGGCTGCTACAGGAACAGGCCCCAGGTGTGGTCACCAGCCAGTGACCCCCTGGAGCTCCTGGTGTCAGGTGAGTCCCATTATTGCTCCATCCGTGGTCTGAGCTACCAGCCATGTCGTTGGCATCTTTGCTGTGAGGGGAGGTCCATGTGAGAAGGTGGGGTGAGGGGAGCACAAGGGCTCCTGGGCCTGAGTCACAGAGAAAGGCAGTGAGACCTGGAAGCCAGGAGAGGAGTAGGGGTTTATGAGAGGAGCAGCCCCTGTAACTCATGTCTGGTCTCCCAAGGTGCCTCTGGGAAGCCCTCCCTCCTGAGCCAGCAGGGCCCCATCGTGGCCTCTGGACAGAACCTGACCCTCCAGTGTCGCTCTGATGTCGGCTATGACAGATTCGCTCTGCACAAGGAGGGGGGACGGGACCTCCCCCAGAGCCTTGTCCTGCAGCCCCAGGCTGGGCTCTCTCAGGCCCACTTCCCCCTGGACACTGTGAGTAGCTCCCACGGGGGCCGGTACAGATGCTACGGTGGATACAACCTCTCCTCTGCGTGGTCGGCCCCCAGTGACCCCCTGGACATCCTGGTGGCAGGTGAGGAGCCAGTGGGTTCAGTCAGGGACCCAGACTCTGCACAGGCCCTGCTGCGGGTCTCTGGTGGTGAGGCCAGAATGAAAGTGCTGGGCCCCAGGGAGGGAGATAGACAGAGTCAGGGGAGAGGGGGAAACTCAGAGAAACAGAGACAGAAAGAGAGGAGGGTCCTCAGAGAGAGGCCTGGTGACTCTCAGGACAGAAAAAGCTGGGCAGTCAGTCCTCACCCTCCTCCCTCTCTTTAGGACAACTGCCTGACAGACCCTCCCTCTCGATGGTCATGCATTCAGGAGCCTGGGTGGCCTCAGGAGTGAATGTGACCCTGCTGTGTCAGTCACAGAGCCCGAGGGACACATTTCTTCTTTCCAAGGAGGAGGCAGCAGATCCCCCCCTGTGTCTGAGATCAAAGCACCAAGCTCAGCAGTTCCAGGCAGAGTTCTCCATGAGTCCTGTGACCTCAGCCCACGGGGGCACCTACAGGTGCTACAGCTCACTCAGTTCCTCCCCCTTCCTGCTGTCACTCCACAGTGAGCTCCTGGAGCTCCTAATCACAGGTGAGCAGCCCTGTCCCTGTCCTCTCTGGTCTCCAAGGTCATCTCCGCCTCTGTCCTCAGCAAAGTCTGAGATGTGATGGAAGTAGTGGGAGCACTGGGTGGTTCCTCAGAGGAGGGTCATTTGTGAAAGGGTGGACACAGGCGGGACCTCCCTCCCCTGGGACAGTCCAGCCTGAGGGAGGGAGAAAGGCAGAGCTACTCCAGGTGATAATAAGAGGAAGTGAGATTTGACTGAAGTGACCAGATGGAGGCCCCGCCCCTGACTTCTGGTGGCTCAACCTTAGACCAGAGCATCGCTGCTCCCAGGGGGACATCCAACAGGCGGGACTCGGGAAATGGAGCTTAGTGTGTGTGGACTCAGCTCTCCTGGGAGGTGAACTCTGAGGATCTTTTCCATCTGAACAAGGGGGCTGCCTGCCATGACCTGCAGGGGCGCTTTCATTTCTGACTTCCTGGGGCACCTGACACCTGGCTTGTCCTAGAGCTGCTCCAGGGGCAGCCTCTCTGGGCCTGTCCTGCTGCTCCCAGTCACTGTGACCTTGTAGGGATTGAAAAGCTGAGGGAGTCAGGGGGCAGGTACACTGATTATCCGCCAGGTCTGGGGGCTCAGCTTAGCAAGAGGAGCCACCATGTTATGGAGACACCAAAGATTTGAAAACACCCACTTATCATCTCCGCTCCTTCTGGTTCCACCCAGAATCTGTGGGGTTTTCCACTAAAAACCAGCAGCCCTGCATAGTTTGCTTGGCGCCCGGGTCCCTAAGCAGGTGGACAGTGTGTGCAGTGGGAGATGGAGAGGGTCAGCTGTTGGTGCCCAGGCCTGGTTTGTAGCACAGGGAAGATGGCTGGGCTGATGTTGGAGGAGAGGTCGGGAGAGGTGGACAGAGAACAGGAAACACTCTCTTAGCTGCTCATTTCCAGAGCCCCTTAGATGGAAGTCCTCACCACATAGGTGGGACCCTGAGCTTCTCAGAGCAGGACAGTGCCTGCTCTGGCCAAGGTGGGACCTGCTGTGGGTGACGCTGCTGTCCCCACTGGACACCCTGCTGTAGTGAGGAGTATCCCCACCTGTTGGCACCATTCTGGAAGGTCCTGTGCTACTGGAGGCCTCCAGGCCCTCAGTGCTCACCTGAGACTCAGGGGGACCATAGACACCTCATGAGGAATCAGGGGGATCCTGCCCAGACACTTTGAAATTCATGGCTGTTCTCTGCATTTCAGTCTTTATTGTGGAGAGTATCCCAGATGTCCGCCCCCCCCGCTTTTTCTCCTCTATAACCCTCCTCCAGCTGGCTCCCTCCATGCCCTTCCCATGCCCTCACTGCACTATTTTCTGTGTCCATGGGCATAGATATATGCATACAAGTTCTTTGGTTAATCTCTTCCCACCCTCTCCTCTTTACCTCTGAGATTCCTCAGTCTGTTCTGTGTTCCCATGCCTTGGGTTCTATTTTATCCATCAGTTTATTTTGTTCCTTAGATTCCACAACATATAAGTGTCAGGTGATATTTGTCCTTCTTGACTGGGTCATTTCGCTTAGCGTAATGATCTCGGCATGTTTTGCACACACGTCTCTACTATTGCTTTTGTCGTGAGAACTTTTACGTGATGGTTACTTATACATTAAAATTGTCGTTACAAACATTTAAGAATTAAAAGAGGTAATTCAACTCGAATTACCAAAAATGCTTCAAAGGTGCTGTGTTTTGTTTTTTACTTCAGAACCAATTTTTTTCAGTTTTATTCATATAATTTCCCCAACAGATAGCTGAAGAATTGATCAAGTTCTACATAAATGCATGTCTGTATATCTGAGATCAACCCATGGTCCTGGGTCCTCACTGTTGCATAAATATAAGCTTTTATACCCAGATGAGGTAGCTCCCATGGCTCTGAATCCCACAGTGAGCAGAGAGATTGAAATAACACATTGTTTTCTGCAACGAGAAACCATAATTCTTCCCAATCCTGAATTATCAAAGCAAAGCCAAACTGTGTTTCAAAGTGACTCAGAAGAAAAGTGTAAATTCAAAAGGCCCAGAGAGACCAAAGAATCCATGAAAGAAGCCAGGACCCTTCTCCAGCAGAGAAAGGGTTCGTGGGGGGAATGGTAGCAGTTAGGTCATGAGAAAGGGGAGAGTTATGGGGACCCTGGGCTTGAGTGGCATCAACTCCTCACACAGCCCCACTCCTATCTGGTTCTCAGGAGCAGCCGACACCACCAGCCCCTCACAGAACAACTCAGACCCCAAGAGTGGTGAGTAGGAGACACTCTCTGTTATGGGCTCAGCACAGAGGGTCATGCCCTGTCAAGGGGAGGGGGTACCCTGGGTGGACATCCAGGGTCCTGGGTGACTTTGTCCTGCCCTAACCTCTGTGATCTGTTTTCCCACAATCCCCAGCCTCCCAGGCCCAAGACTACACTCTGGAGAATTCCATCCGGTTGGGCGTGGCTGGATTGGTCCTGGTGCTGCTGGGGGTGCTGCTCTATCAGGCCTGAAACAGCCAGAGAAGGACCCAGGATATAGACAGGACGTGAACACAGAGGGAACAATTCCCTCTTCAGAGAGGGGGAGCCTTGGAAGTGAATCTCATGTGCCCAGGAGGTTCTGGAAGATAACGTGGGACATATGCTGAGGAACCTGTCTGCACCTCATAGCAGGTGGAGGAGTCATTACTCATGTGCAGGGCCAAGGTCTGGACCTTCTGCCATTGAACTGTGGTCCTTTCTCTCATGACCACTGTGAGTCCTGTGACTGGATCCTGACTTTCCACATTTTGGTGAAATTAGCATTAATTCCACTTGGCAGGTACAGGTCCACACCTCCATACACTTTCATGGAATACATTTTCCTTTATTTCTATTTACACAGACCTTCATGTCTGTACGAAGTCCCCATCTCCTGAGTCCAGAGAATGCTCTCTATTGTAATCTACAAGGGGCACAATCCATCCTGTAAGAGATAAACCCACTGGTAGGTCCTAACGCCCTCTCTGGACTCCACACGCCCTTCCCTGGCCATCGGATGCCACCTGTGTGCTTTCTGCAGCAACCTCACTCATTGGAATCAAGACCTGGTGGTTTGAAGGGGTCACCTGGTCTGCGCTGCCTCTGAAAACCCCATTGTCCAAAACACAGGCCCATGCCCTACATGAGTGGCCACATCTACCACAAAGTGGTTGCTGATCCCGTGCAGCAAACACTTCACATGCCAGCATTGTGTTTCCCACACACATGGCCTCACCTGCCTCATCAGCCCCACCTATTACCAATCCCACAGTGAGTCTTTGCAGGTGACAAACTGGGGTCAGAAGGAAACTCATGGCCAATAGCTCGTGATATGTAACTCGGAATTTAAACTTGGTCCATGAGAGTTTCTAACCCACAGTGGCCCTAAAATCTGAATTGGGATGAAGCCCAGTATATGGATGTGGGGGAGATTTCAGAGTTGGGGTTCTCCATCTCAGGATTGGTTCCAGATTGGAGTTGCTTCCAAAGGAAAGTGTTCTTCACATTCTTTTTAATGTGTCTCTTCTCCAAGGTTTTGCTCTGACCTCGTGCTGTACCTTCTCTGGTAGACTGCCAGACTTCCAGAAGGTGATGGTTGAGTGTCTACCTCCCAATCCCTCCTCAAACCTCCTGAAGACAGAGCCTGACCTGTGGGTTTAACAGGTGAGGTGTGAGTTCAAGCTGGTCAGACATGCCCTAGTCTCCTGATCCTTATTGAATCCTCACCTCTGATGCTTCCACCACCTTTGCCCAACATAATAATTTGTGTGAGTATAAAATTCTTCACTCACAATTCCTTCAATGTACTTTTACCATATCTATTGGCCTTTTTTTTTTATTAAAGGACTAGTGGTTCAGTGCATGAATTCATGCACATTGAAAGGAAATTGATTAGAAGAAATATTTTAATATTGCTAATCGCCCTTTCTCTATAATAGAAGTGTCAACCAAAGTCACGATCGACAATGACAGATGGAAACACACACATGTGATTGGCGCCAGGAAGAACTTTATATGTACCGTGCTTGTACGAGTTAACTTCACCTTTTATAGATATAGAATAAACTTGGTTAATTAGACCTGCTTTCTGATTTAGCTAAACTTTTTCCAGCCCAGTGAAGCACCACAAGTTCTCTTTCAGGTAATTGTCAACAACACAGCAGTAAATATCAACATGAAGCAGATTATTATTGTAGATCACACATGGAGAATAAAGGGTAAAATATTTTACTGTAGCAGTGTTTGACTATATTCTGTGCAGTGAGGAAAACCTGAAGTCATTTTCAAGGTCCACCATTTCTTACTTCTTTTCAGTTGGGTCAAGTTTCTAAGTTTTCAAAATCTCCATTTTGGGGCTAGTGAGAAGAAAATAGGATTCCACCGAGCCTCCTATCTACCCACTCTAGGACTTTTGTGTGGATCAAATTAGATGAGGCACGTTAAAACGCTTCACAGATTTTTGGTTACAGTGTGAAATGTTTCCATTTGGCTATGGAGCAAGTCATGTTCCTGGGCTGAAGAAACTTCAAGGAGGCTAGTTGCTATGGAGAGGAAGCTGGCATTGCTACATTAGGTCATTACCAGGACAGTCGGACACTTAGCATATTAGCCTTTTATATATATAGATAGTTGGCATGCAATCAAGTCAGCTCTCATTGATTGCCTCCACTTGATATGAAATATGAATACACATATTTCATTTGCATATTCATGCACCTGGCACTGTGTGCTCTCTTTGTTTCTCTGCAAAATACCCAGCCACTGGTCTCTAGGTCTATAGCCAATGTCATCCTCACCTCATTTCTACTGAATCTCACAATATCCATTGGTCTTAATCTCTTTCTGCTCTCCATGTATCTTAATTTTCTAATTCCAGTCTCTCTCTATTGCTTCCCACAAAATTTCCTCAATGTTGTCCTCCAGTTTCCTAATTGTATCTCCAGCTGTATCTTCTTGTTGAACAAAATATTTTAAGGGTGGTTAAATCACATTTTTACTTTCTTTTCACTTCTAAGGTATTTACCTAATTTATTTCTATAATTCTATATTCTTTTCTACAATAACCTTTTTTTGATGTTGTTTCAAGAATCCAATTTCCTTCTTCATCTTACCCCAGGTATTTAAGTATGCTTAAATCAAAATGTGTTTTGTATATTCTTATTGTGTTCTCAAAAATGATGATAATCCCCGTTGCAGTGAGGAAAACCTGAAGTCATTTTCAAGGTCCACCATTTCTTACTTCTTTTCAGTTGGGTCAAGTTTCTAAGTTTTCAAAATCTCCATTTTGGGGCTAGTGAGAAGAAAATAGGATTCCACCGAGCCTCCTATCTACCCACTCTAGGACTTTTGTGTGGATCAAATTAGATGAGGCACGTTAAAACGCTTCACAGATTTTTGGTTACAGTGTGAAATGTTTCCATTTGGCTATGAAGCAAGTCATGTTCCTGGGCTGAAGAAACTTCAAGGAGGCTAGTTGCTATGGAGAGGAAGCTGGCATTGCTACATTAGGTCATTACCAGGACAGTCGGACACTTAGCATATTAGCCTTTTATATATATAGATAGTTGGCATGCAATCAAGTCAGCTCTCATTGATTGCCTCCACTTGATATGAAATATGAATACACATATTTCATTTGCATATTCATGCACCTGGCACTGTGTGCTCTCTTTGTTTCTCTGCAAAATACCCAGCCACTGGTCTCTAGGTCTATAGCCAATGTCATCCTCACCTCATTTCTACTGAATCTCACAATATCCATTGGTCTTAATCTCTTTCTGCTCTCCATGTATCTTAATTTTCTAATTCCAGTCTCTCTCTATTGCTTCCCACAAAATTTCCTCAATGTTGTCCTCCAGTTTCCTAATTGTATCTCCAGCTGTATCTTCTTGTTGAACAAAATATTTTAAGGGTGGTTAAATCACATTTTTACTTTCTTTTCACTTCTAAGGTATTTACCTAATTTATTTCTATAATTCTATATTCTTTTCTACAATAACCTTTTTTTGATGTTGTTTCAAGAATCCAATTTCCTTCTTCATCTTACCCCAGGTATTTAAGTATGCTTAAATCAAAATGTGTTTTGTATATTCTTATTGTGTTCTCAAAAATGATGATAATCCCCGTAATGACCCTGTGGACAGTCCTTCATACCACTATGTGTTATTTTGTGAGTTTCTCTTTGATGTCCTCTTGGCTGTTGCTTCTCCTATTGGGAACTTTTACTTCCCTTTTTCTGCATTGACTGTGCTATATCTTTCAGAAATACTATAAGTAGCATCATTTAGCATTGAGAGCAGATGGGGGCTCTTGGGTGGGCACATTTATTGTCCACGTTGACTGTGGAGTCAGATACCTTGATTGTCTCCTGTGTCACCCCACCCATCCTCATTTGATTTGGGAATCAACAGGATTGACCCCTTCCAGGACCTGGGCAATACTTAACCCACAACTAGTCTGAGGAGTTGGGTTCATAACAACATGTTGCAGATGGGGAAACTGAGGCTCAGAGATTGAATGTTACTGCTCATGGGCACAAGGGCCATGGACGATGGAGAAGCATTTACATAAGAATGAGTTTTCTCACCAACATCAGGCCACTGACCACTTACTGTTCCCTGAGCTGAGGACTGGAGCCAGGCTCACAGGATGGGGTCAGCGCTGCCCGAGGAACAAGGCACTGAGGAGGCAGGAGTGAGTCATAATCATGCTCCCAGGAAGGAGAGGGTGGCTGCTGTGGCAACAAAAAGGAGAAGGTCCTGAGGGGCCTGTGAGACACAGAAAGTCCACACTCTGGGGTCATGAGAAGAGTTGGTTTTCCTTCCCTTATTTCCCTGCATTTGCCTCTGTGCTCATTGTCACAGGGACATCGCCCTGAGCTGC